AAAACAGAAAGCAAGAAACACAAAAGATAAAGGAGAGAGACAAAACCAGGGGCGGAGCAGCTTAGAGCTCCACCTCCATCTCTCCCTCATCCGACGGCCCAAGGCTGTCTTCAAACTCATCATCGTCAAGTTCATCATCTCCTCCATCCTGGTTTTGGTCGTCCGGTGGGTCCCCCGAATGCTCAGTCGCAAAACTTTCGGGCAAGAGGATATTCATGTCACCCTCATCAGTGACTAGATTGATAATCTCAGAGCTTTTGTGACCAGTTTTATCCCCTCTTACTAAGGTGTGTTCATTTGCCGCAGCTGCCTGATGAATTTCTTTGCCTTTCTTTCTCTGAGTGCTTGCTCTTTTGGTCGACGTACTTGCACCTTGATTTTGCTTCTTATGGAGCCCATGAACATTATTCCCTTGGACTTGTTTTTCAGACACTTGGACTGCCGGCCTCTTCCCCTTATCAGGCCCAATATTGTTGGATTTTCTCCCAGTTTTATTACTAAGTCCATTAGTTTCAGCTGTGTTTTCCTCTGCTGGCTCTTGGCAGCCCTCATTGTGTTCGTCATCTAGAGCTCCAAATCTCGACCCGCGATTTCCTTCCCGTTTATCCGTTTTATTTTTCCTCTCTTCATTACCGTTGTTTCCATTTTTATTCATCTTGGGATCCCGTTTATTTTGGCCGTTATAGCATTTCCATTTTTATTCATCTTGTTCCTTTGATAGCATTAGTATCTTTAGTCGTTGCCCTTGGTAAGGGTGCATCTTGATAAGGTTAACCCGGTAACCAGTGTTTGTTCTGTAGACTTCAGGATGGTTCCACATAGGAGGCGCACAGGTATACCCGAGACTCCTACCAATGAGCAGCTCACCCAAAACCTTCAACATCTAACTCAGATCACCCAGACTTTGAGCATTGGCCTACTCAACAACAACCATCGCGGTAATAGGGATGTAGCTCGGCAAGTGTCAGGACACCACCCGCTTGGCTTTGCAGGGGAGGAAGACCCAACGATGTTGGAGGAATGGATCAGGACCTTCGATAATATTTTTGAGGTTGTAGATTGTCCTGAGAAGCGTCGAGTAGAGATAGCCATGTTCTACTTTCGGCAAGAGGTTGATTTGTTGTGGATTCACGAAGGATCGACTTGTAAGCAGGATCCGGAGTTCAGTTGGGAAGGTCAAAAGGACAAGTTACGTGAGCGCTTTTACCCCACTCATGTAAAGGCAACTCTATATGAGGACTTCCTTTACATTCAGGATGGATCTTCGTCAGTGTTGGATTATCACAAGAGGTTTTTGGAGTTGTCTCGGTTTTCCCACGTCTTGGTGCTTACCGAGGCAAGTAAGATTGAAAATTTTGTAGCTGGGCTTAACTTTGAGGCCAAAAAAGCCTTGATGGTACTCAACTTCAAGACTCTCAATGAGGCTTATATCTGTGCTGTGGACCTTTATCATGTGCAGCAAATCCGGAGAGGGGTTTAGGAGTAACAAAAGAGAAAAAGTGAGGGGATTAGCCCACAAATGTTTAGGAGGCCAAGAGTGGCCAATGCTGAGCCAGCAAGGAACGTTCCAAGGGGCAATTTCAATGGGGGAAGGACATACCAAGTGAACCAAGGAGCCATAGGAAGGAATGTTGAAGTCAAGGAAAAACACTTCAACTGTAGGAGATGTGGGAAGGATCACCCAGGCTTGGATTTCTTTGGGAAGATGGTGGAGTGTTACAAGTGTGGGAGGAAAGGCCACATTGATTTTGAGTGCGGAATCAAGGGCGGGGCTTCTTCAAGCCCAAGTTCGAGTGGTGGTATGAGGCCTAAGTTAGGAGAGCAGTTCCGAGGTTGGGACCATAGTGGAGGAAATGGAGGGTCGAATGTGAAACCCAGACCACCGCGAGGGAAGATTTTCATTATGAGTCGCACACAAGGTGAAGCTGAGGCTGCAATGGATGAAGGAGACATGGTCGATGAACCAACTAGCCAAAGCTTATGTGAGTCAAGTAGTTAAGTATCATGGGGTACCGCGTAACATCGTATCCGATAGAGACTCAAGGTTCTTATCCTAGTTTTGGAAAGCTTTGCAAGCAACTATAGGGACAAAGTTGAAACTAAGTACTAAGTTTCACCCGACAACAAATGGACAAACCGAGAAGATAATTCAGACTCTAGAAAATATGTTGAGAGCATGCGTATTGGATTTCCAGGGATCGTGGGAAGAACATCTAGATTTGGTTGAACTTTCATACAACAATAGCTATCATGCAAGTCCTTTTGTTGGAAAGATTTAGTCAACCCTGCGACCGTAGTATTTGCAAGAGACAACAGAAAAGGTCAAGATGATCCAAGAAAGAATGAAGCCCACTCAAGATCGTCAAAAGTTCTACGTTGATTTGGGAAGGAAACCAGCTGAGTTTCAAGATGGATAAAAGGTAATACCTAATGTTGTGAACCTTTGTCAACTTTAAGCTTGAAGTGTTAATTGTAACAATGGAATTGGTAGGTGTTGCTGAAAATCTCACCCCGAGAGGGGTAATGAGAATTGGGATGAAAGGAAAGCTAAGCCCAACGTTTATAGGCCCGAATGAGATTTTGGAGCAAATTGGAAAGGTGGATTATCGCTTAGCTTTGCCTACCAAGTTGGATCGCGTGCACGACGTATTCCATATATCTCAGTTGAAGAAATACGTGCACGACGCATCTCATGTTCTCCAACCCGAGGTGAGTACTAGTCTTTAGAATTGGATTCTGCTTAAATCAAAGAGCTGACTTAAGTAAAGCATTGTTTCTTGAGGTGGTGTCTTTGGACGAGACTCTATCCTACGAGGAGACTGGAGAGACCTGTAAGGATTTTGGACACAAAATAAGAGAAACTCGCCGAAAAGCAGTAAAGTTGGTGAAAGTGTTATGGTCCAATCATGAGGTTGAAGAGGCAACTTGGGAGATGGAGGATGATATGAGGAAGCGTTACCCATCTTTGTTTTCTCAAGGTAATTTAGTTTAAAAGCTTGGTTTAGCTATCAGTTCTAGCTGATTAGATTATGCTTTAGAAAATTTAGATTTGGGTAGATCGGTACTTGGTAATAGTCGAATTAGAACTTAGACTTTATGACTAGATTTCTCTTTTAATAAATCCCTAACATGCATCTTGTCCTTCCTTCTTGTGACACCAATTTGAACCTTCAACCCATTTTTAAATCTTACCTTCATTTGAACCTTAGCTTCGAGGACAAAGCTCTCTTTAAGGGGGGAAGAGTGTGACACCCCAAAAAATTTATTCTAACTTCCGAACTAACTCCTACGAATATTTTTCTAAGGGAGAATTGCTCCTTTTTATTTAAAAACCCAAATTCTCCTATTTAAAATAATCCTAGCCTAGCATATGGGCTAAAATATGTCTTCCTTGCATAGATATATTTAATCCTTCTAGCCAAGCCCATGTAAATATTAATAACTCTATAATGAATCCACCCATATAATAAAAGCCCATTATCGTAGTCTTGCATTCCTTATTATATACACATGAATACATATAAATAATACTCCTTATCTACAAGACTTATTACCCTAGATATTTCTCTACACACTCACTCCCCCTCTCACTACTCCCATACGCCATTTTCCCCTTCCCTAAGAATACAAAGTATCTTCTATTTTTCCTACTCAAGAACACAAGCCAATACATTATCTTTCTACTCTACAAAGCTTAAGAATGGTAAGACCTAACTCCCTACGCCTTTTCTATTCAAGATCTCTTCATCTTTCTAAATCTTTATTCTCTTTATGTGTTGGGTTTTGGGGTTTTAAAAGATGATCAAGTTGAGGATGACTTGCTAGGGTGATCTTGAGGAGCTTATGGTGTTTTGCTAGCTAGAAGGTAACCCTTTATGTATTCTTGACATTCTTGATGATATTGAGCATAATCATGTGTTTATGCTTGTTTTAGAACTTGTATCTTAGAGGTATACTTGTGTTTGATGCGCCATTTATTCCATTCCAAGTTATATTTGTTGTTGGTATGATTATTGTTGAGTTTGGTGTTGTTGAAGTGGAAAATACCCATTCTGGAAATTGTCTCGTGCGTACTATTTCTATAGGTTCATTTGGCCTAGCGAGGGTATTCAGCGGGCATGGCACACCCGTTGAACCCACCCGTAAGGTGTGAGTGGGGGTGTTTGGCGGGGGTGGAGGTCCCACCAAACCCCACCGTGTTGATCCCACGAGGGTCATTGGCGGGCCCTCTAGTTCCGCTGAACCCACCCGTTGGTTCTATCTTGTTTAGCTTCCGGAATTGTTTTGTTGCCTCCCATGCACTTTTGACTATTTGTTGATGTTACTCAGGTCTAGAGCTATGTTTTATGAGTCTATTGATTAGGATTTGAGTCTTGATTCATTGTAAAGATCCAATCTTTATATTCATTGGATTATTGTTGAATTTTATGTTGTGAATCCTTGGTAATTCTTTCGTAAGAACTCTTGAGAGCATCCTATTGACTTGCATGCTAGTAATGTTGATTCCTTGATGCTAGTATGTTCATTTTGATATCCTTTACCTTGATTCTTGTTGAGTTGTTGACTTGAGCTTATTTATCTTTCTTGTACCTTTCATTGGAATCCGTTGATATTGATCTATTGCTTTGAGATTACATCCGTCTTATATCCTTCTTTGGAATTCGTTGGCATTGAGCTATTGATTTGAGGTTATATCTTTGTTGTATCCTATCTTTGGTGTTGAGCTATTGCCTTGAGATTATTCATTGTTAAATATCTTTCTTTTGGAATCTATTTCATTGCCTTTGCTTCTTGAGATTCCTTTGTTGAATTGAATCCTTGTTGAGATTATTATGCTGGGACCGTGGACAGTGTGGGGAACTTATTTGACTTATTTGAGATGATATTTGATTACAGGGAAACATGGTCGAAACGTATCCTGGGTTGTCAGATCTAGTTCTACTTATTGAGGCTTGGAGATCACAATAAGGGGGTATACACTTAAGGATCTAGAGCTGTCTCTATTGGTTAGTCCCTTGGGTGGACTTGGTTATTTGAGATTATGGTATTGTTCCATGGGTGGACATGATTGCTGTCTAGAGGGTCAAATGTGAAACCCAGACACCGTGAGGGAAGATTTTCATTATGAGTCGCACTCAAGCTGAAGCTGAGGCTGCAGTGGATGAAGGAGACATGGTCGATGAACCAACTAGCCAAAGCTTATGTGAGTCAAGTAGTTAAGTATCATGGGGTACCGTGTGACCTTGTATCTGATAGAGACTCGAGGTTCTTATCCCATTTTTGGAAAGCTTTGCAAGCAGCTATGGGGACAAAGTTGAAACTAATTAAGTACTACGTTTCTCCCGGCAACAGATGGACAAACCTAGAGGACAATTCAGACTCTAGAAGATATGTTGCGGGCATGCGTATTGGATTTCCAGGGATCATGGAAAGAACATCTAGATTTGGTTGAGTTTTCATACAACAATAGCTATCATGCAAGCATCCGAATGACACCTTATGAAGCTTTATACGGACAAAAGTGCAGGAGTCCTTTGTGTTGGGAAGATTTAGTCAACCCTGAGACTCTGGGACCGTAGTATTTGTAAGAGATAACAAAAAAGGTCGAGATGATCCAAGAAAGAATGAAGACCGCTCAAGATCGTCAAAAGTCCTATGCTGATTTGGGAAAGAAACCAACTGAGTTTCAAGAAGGATAAAAGGTAATACCTAAAGCTGTGAACCTTTGTCAACTTTAAGCTTGAAGTGTTAATTGTAACAATGGAATTGGTAGGTGTTGCTAAAAATCTCACCCACGAGAGGGGTAATGAGATTTGGGAAGAAAGGAAAGCTAAGCCCCAGGTTTATAGGCCTGTATGAGATTCTGGAGCGAATTGGAAAGGTGGCTTATCGCTTAGCTTTGCCGACCGAGTTGGATCGTGTGCACGATGAATTCCATATATCTCAGGTGTATACACTTATGGATCTAGAGTTGTCTCCATTGGTTATTCCCCTGGGTGGATTTGGTTATTTGAGATTACGGTATTGTTCACTGGGTGGACATGATTGTTGTCCGGAAGCCCGGCCTCCACACTTGTTCCACGTTTTGATTAATAAAACTATGTGAATGTTGTCCCCCGGTTGGATATGAGATTTGATATTATTGAATATGTGATTGTGACGAGAATTGTTCTACACTTGAATTATGTGAATTGATATACCTTTTTTGTTCTTCACAATTTGATATTGCTATTCCCTTGATTGTATTCAGTTGTTGGAATCCTTATCCTATGATGATTATGTTCTATCCCATATTTGAGTTGAGTTTGGTTGATGAATCGAGTCATGTCTTGATTGATCCCCATTGAGTTGATTCTGAACTAACACTATCTCCACTGTGTTACTAAATTAGAGTTGAGTATATATATATATATATATATATATATATATATATATATATATATATATATATATATATATATATATATATGTATGTATGTATGTATGTATGTATGTATGTATGTATGTATGTATGTATTCCCAAGTCTAAAAACCTATTTTGAGTTTGAAATGTATACTTATGCTTTACATATTGGAGTGGGGTTACTTAGTATTTCTCGCTAATTCTTATAAAATATGTTTCAGGTATGGAGTAGATCTGATTTTGAGAGCGCGGTAGTTTGAGCTTAGCCTCTAGCTTCTAGCTAGATTTATTATCTTTTGCTTAGTTTGATGGCTTGTGAGCCTTGTCCTAGACTTATTTTGTACTTAACCAGATTGTGACTAGTATTTCTGGATTACTATGTTGTTATGTTTGACGATTTAGACTAGCCTTAGCAGTTAGCATTTAGGTTGGGTTTAATTAACCTAAATGTGGCATAGCATCCCCGTTTGAATTGATTTAGCTTCCTGAGTTTATTTATATCAGTTGGACTTTTATTATCTTTTCCATTAAGTTTAATGCTTAAAGTTATGATTAGTATTGGGGGTGTTACACATTCGAGTTATTCTAACTATTGCTTTGAGTCACAGGTGGAAAATACGGCAATTAGACGTCAACCACGCTTTTCTCTATGGAACTCTGTATGAAGATGTCTATATGGAACAGCCGCCTGGGTATCATGATGCCCAATTTCCTTCCTCTGTTTGTAAACTTCGTAAGGCACTTTATGGTCTAAAGCAGGCACTGCGTGCCTGATATTTGGAGTTGTCAAAATTTTTAGTTTCAGAAGGTTTGGCACGCTCCAGAGTGGATACTTCTCTATTTGTCTACACATCCAATGGTGTCATTGCATATTTCATGGTGTATGTCGACGACATTATTCTCATTGGAAATAATATAGGTTTTCTGGATGATTTTGTAATGACATTGGCTAACAGATTTTCTATAAAAGATCTTGGTCCACTTAACTACTTCTTGGGTGTTGAAGTGATTCCTACGACTCTTGGTGTTTTTTTTTTTTTTTTTTTTGTGATAATCTTGGGGCGACTTATGTCTGTAAGAATTCGTTTTTTCACTCAAGAATGAAGCATCTTGCTTTAGACTATTTCTTTGTGCGTGATATGGTAGTTGCAAGCTAGGGTCTCTATTTGTCCGTCATGTCTCTGCTAATGATCAAGTTGCAGATGTGTTAAATAAGCAAGATTGGTGTAATTGATGGTTCCTCCATCCAGGGCCGGATTTTAGGCTGTGCAAGCTGGGCTACCGCACAGGGCCCCCAATTTTAGAGGGGCCCCAAATTTTAGAGGCCCAATATTTAATATTTACCTAGCTAGTTTAGAAATAAAAATTAAAAGTTTACAATTAATCTTGAAAGGTTCTATGAAGAGATGGTTGAAATATGTATTTATTGTCTTTTAACTTAGAGGTCAAAGGTTCGAAACTCGTATATGTTAGTTTTAAAAATCATGATTTTGGAGGGCCTCAGTTATTTATATGTTAGTTTTAAAAATCATGATTTTGGAGGGCCTCAGTTATTTACCAGAACAGGGCCACAAAAATCTAAAATCCGGCCCTGCCTTCATCTTGCGGAGACATATTAAGGAATAATATTTGTACCGTTTATTATATTGATTTAGTCTAGGTAGTTATATTTTCTCTCCTAAAATTAATCTAGAGTTGTTACTGACATCTCCCATTTTATATCTTGTATTCTTCACTATTCATTGAATAAACTTACACTCTTCCTTCACTATTTAATATCTTCCACCATATTCTTTACTAGCCACTTGCCAACTCATCTGATCTATTGATAGCCTCGCCTACTTATCCAATGTTTCATTGATCTTAAACTCTGGATGTTCAATATCCTGTGATGTACACCGTATACCTGAGCCCTCACCATTACTCTTAACTTCTACTTGGTCCAATACTTAGAGAACATGAATATATGTTTCAAAAAATGATACAAATTAAATTATAATGATTATCAGAGAAATAAAATTGGAACATTTTAGAACATATAATTTCAGCAAACAAATTTATAAGAGTATATGAAAACTATGGGGATGGATCGGAGCTCATAGGCTAGAATTGCATGCTTTGGCTTCATAATAATGCATGTTTGTGCTTTAATTTGTCTATATCTCGAAGGGCCATGATAGTGACTCTGTTATGTTGCCACTAATGTATGCTGTCTTTTCCAACAGGAATCATTAATTAATACACACCTAATCTAATCTGAATCTATCTTGCATTAATTAATTAATCAAATTTGGATTAAGAAGAAAAAGCATATACCCTTTAGGCAGTACAACCATAATTACAGAGTCGTAGTTTGTTGAAAAAGAAACCATTATTTATATATATTATTCTAAATGGAAAGTCGGTAAATCGTATAAGATGGCAATCATTTTCTTAGATTGATCGCCCAGAGGCGTCTTTGATTGGATTGGTTACTGCCAATTGCTGTCATATTCACTTAAGGCCAACAATCTCCATTATTATCATACACTCACAATCATATTTAACATATATATATATATATATATATATATATATATATCAAACTCAATAAATTTTCAGGGATAATAGTAATACACACGTGTTAGTGTTACAAAAAATAATCTATTAAATATATATGTTATATGTTGGGAAAAATGCTTGTATTTTGTAATATTTTTTAGATACAACAAAAAATACAGAAAAAAAAATAATAGAATAAAAACGCGATCATTAAACATCTTTAGGTGTATACTCATTTTCCTATAAATCTTTAATCTCCCTTTACAAGCAACAAAGATATCATATTAAGACTTATGAGATACAATAAGATATATAGACATCTTGGGTTGTTTTGCCAAGAATTTTCCTTAAATTGTGTAACTGAGAATTCTATCTAAAAATACATTCTCAATTGTTTACTGTAGATAACACAAGAAAATATGACAGTGATGAAAATAATCTTTCATCTAATCTTTTAGACTTTTATCAGTGTAAAATCATTCATCTCAAACATCTCTAAGTACTATACTTGTTTGACTCTTCTATGATCTTTCTCTGATCATTCTCTGATTGCTTTCATATCCGAGACTCTGTGACATTCTATAAGATTCTGGATCTGTGTCCCTCCAAAATAGATGTATAGACATATATATCCAATTCAACTTTCTAGAGTTATATGGAAGTTACATGGCTGGTTAAGAACACCAACTTCCAAATATAATACACTGATAATTTAATCTGACATGGGAAATAATATATATATATATATATATATATATATATATATATATATATATATATATATATATGTAACAGATCAGGTGAAACAATTGCCTTAGGTGGAAAATAAGGTTTAATTATATTTATTGATTGAGTCTAGATCAAGGGTCCAGAGTGGTTGAAAAACTTATTGGCAGATATATCATTGTGGGGGTGCCCAACACCTTCTGTGCCGTTACATTGTGATTCGCAAACAGCTATATGTGTTGTGGAGAATAATGCCTATAATGGAAGGAGAACGCATATAAGAGTCAGACATGAGTCTGTACAACAATTGATTATGACTAGAGTAATCACGATGGAATATGTGAAATCTGAGAGGAATATTGCAGATCCTCTTACAAAAGGGCTAAACCGAAAAGCCATCCTTGAGAAGTCAATGGAGTTGTGCTTGAAATCGGTGAGGTGAGGAATTCATGACGAGGTCATGGAAAGACTCACATAAGTGATGTGATATTAAATTAACCCTAAATAACTTTGTAGCTCTAAAAGGGTGGTCTATGTTGAGGTTGACTTGACAGAGTAAGATTCAATGGTCAGAGTCTTGACCTACATGTATTAAAAGAAAAGTTTGTGTGTGCATCCGAGTTTAAAATTTTTCCAAACGACGAGTTCAAGACTTGTTTCACTCTCGGGAGGAAAATTACTCAATGTCATTACGTGTCAGTTCAAGATTTTAAATCACTGACATTAAGGCCAACTTTGTGTGTTGCTCAGACGATATTCGTGTCAACATTTTCTATAAATGTGTGGGGGATTGTTGGAAGGCGTTTATAGAAAATAGCTTTGCTATTTTTAATTCTCTCTAATTTTCGGTCAACTCCCTTGTCCATTGCATCATGGATCATTCAACCCCCATGATCCCCTTTTCTCTCATTTTACGTGGCTTCCAGAGGTGGAGTTGGTTGAAATCTTCACTATAAAACCATGCTATGTACATAGAAGAAAGACACACGTCAAAACTTTCTTCTACTGCCATTTCCGTCTGAGCTTTATTAATAGCTTTGCCCAAGCGCAAGCTCGCGTGCCTGTGTTACTGGTCGAAAGCAACCAGGATAAGCCTTTTTAAGGCAGTGTTCCTACGAACATGACAAAGTGCAGAAATTCTCATAACATTTTGTCCCTTTTCAATATTTTACAGACATTGTTCAACAACAAAATTCAACAGTTGTTGTTCACTAAGGGTTCACTAAGATGATGTCTCTACTCCACTAGTTTGAGGAGTAACCTGGTAGAAAACATCTTGGGTTACTAGGGCTATTTTACCACCCGTTGGGCTTAGAATCCCAATTAGGGGTGTGCACACTTAAGGTTGTGGTCCTGTTTCCACCTATGGTAAAGTGGGGGTTCTGTAATGTATTCAGTAGAGGATTGTTGTTCACTAAGGGCTTCACTGAGATGATGTCCCTGCCCCACTAGTTTAAAGAGTAACCTAGTAGGAAACAACCTGGGTTACTAGGGTTAGTTTAGTATCCGTTGGGCTTGGAATCCCAATTAGGGGGTGTGCACACTTAAGGTTGTGGTCCTGTTTCCACCTGTGGTAAAGTGTGGGTTCTATGGTGTGTTCAGAAGAGGGTTGTTGTTCACCAAGGGCTTCACTGAGATGATGTCCCTGTCCCACTAGTAATAGGTGTTCCTCGATAATTATGTATATGTTGGGAAAGTGGGGGTTTTTGAGGTGTGATCAGCAGAGGGTTACTGTTTACTAAGGACTTCACTGAAGTGATGTTCCTACCCCACTAGTGTTATTTGAAGTTCTTCTTTATCTATATGCTACTTGGAAATATGTTTTGAGGATATATGTTTTGAGAAATATGATTTGGATTCCTCCATATCTATGTTTATCTATGTGTATGTTTTGAGAAATGATTATTTGAAATCCTCCATACTTAGAAAGAGTTAATGCCACATGGGGACCTCCGAGTATAGTGGTTTTGCCACGTTTAGTCCTAAATTATCAAATTGATCATTTGTGGTCATTCGACGTTCAAATTTAATCATTGGTGGTCTAAGTTAACCACCCATGGTGCTTCTACTTTCGAAATTTAACCAGCCATGGTCCTTTTGAAAGGACCATGGTTGGTTAAAATTTAATAGTTAAAGGACCATAGATGGTTAACTTGGACCATGAATAGTAACAATTTTAAAGTCGAAGGACCACAAGTGGTCAATATGAAAGTTTAGGACTAAACGTGGCAAACCAACGGTCTATATGTATGTTTCGAGAAAGTATTTTGCCTTGAATGGCTTATGATAATGGTACTATGTTTTGGAAATGACTAGAAATGGTTTATGGAATGATTATAACGTTTTGAAAGTGTTAGTTATTATCATATTGAGAAAGCTATTATCTTATATGGAATTATTGTGGAGTTAGGTGTTTTATGGGGAGTAAATACCCAAAATGGTCCCTCGACTATAGCTAAATTCACAAATTGGTCCTCGACTTTCAATTTTAACCAATTAAGTCCTTAACTTTGCAATTTTAACACGATTTGGTCCTCCGTTTGTTGACTGTGATTTTTGATGATATTTATGTAATTTCATGGTCCATTGTCGGGTTTTTAAGGTTCCGGTTGCATTTCCAGACCGCATTGTTACATTTGAATCCACTGCCAAAAGCAATCTACCAAATCTTGTCGCCTTTCTTCATCCTCCCTTTGGATTCAATGTAGTTGAGTTCGTACCAGAGCGAAGAAGACGACGTGTTTCCGAACCGGTGCAGCGTCATCCTAGAGGCCTCCACGTGCTCCGACGAGAGCTGCAGGTTCTTCTGGAGATTTTCGATGACAGCGTGGCCGCTGGCGTTGATGCAGAAGTGTTCGAAGGCCTGTTTGAAGTCGAGAATGTAGGGTTTCCATTTGGGATTGAAGATTTTCCAGTCAATTAGGGTGAAGAGAAAGAGGAGCTGCTCTGACGACGGGAGAACGAGCGGGTCGATTGTGGTTATGTTGGATTTGAGGGCTTCGCCGGCGATCACCATTAGGTCTTTTGAGAGGTTGATTCCGAATTTCCCTTGCAGATCTTCCTGCTCGTAAACGCAGCGGTAGGCTTTATCGTCGGCGCCCTTGTTGGACACGAGAATCGCGGCGCTGCCCAGTAGACTCAGACAAGGTTGTTTGTGGCGGTGGGCCTGGATTGCAAATTGGGTTGTAGAGCCGACAATGATGAATTATGCGAAGGTGTTTGGGCGGTGGATTGTGTCTGGCAGTAGGTGAAGGCTAGGCGGTGGAGTGTGTCATGGCAGTAGATGAGGGCGGCTGGGCAGTGGCTTGTAGCTAGGCGATAGATTATGTCACGGCAGCGGATGAGGGCGGGCAGCGATGAAATTACATATATATCTTCAGAGACCACGGTCAAATAGACGGAGGACCAAATCGTGTTAAAATTGCAAAGTTAAGGACTTAATTGGTTAAAATTGAAAGTCAAGGACCAATTTGTGAGTTTAGCTATAGTTGTGGCACCATTTTGGGTATTTACTCTTTTATGGGTGGTGCCTATTTTACATTTGGGGAAAAACTATTTTGGTATATATATTATAAACTGTATAAAAAATGTTGAGTTGAAAACTATTTTACAAAAGCTATGTTCATGGTGGTAGTTACTATTACTTGGTGTTTTAACTAGAGTCTCAAATGTTGCATTTTAAGAAACTCCTATCTATAGTTCGATGAGTGTACTATTTTGGGAAAATGGTCTTAAATCTTCACTTTGAGAAATCTCTCATTTTGGTGTGAGTTGCATATCTCTCTCTCTCTCTCTCTCTCTCTCTCTCTCTCTCTCTCTCTCTCTCTCTCTCTCTCTCTCTCTCTCTCTCTCTCTCTCTCTCTCTCTCTCGTCAAAGCGTTGACATAAAGTATTTTGAAAACTCTTATGAAAATGCCTTTTTAAAGCCTTTGGCTAATTATTTTCTAAGGCGTGGTCTATTCGGGTTTCAAAACCTATTTACAAAGTATCTCTATTTTCTAAACTAAAAATATATTTATTTTACGAGGCAGGGTAGACCTTACTTAGCATATTTTTGCTAATTTTATTGCTTTGTGTTTTCCCAACCTTGTTGTTTTCAGGACTTGAGTTTGAGTCTAGCTTGAGAGCGCGTTGTAGAGGCGTAGTACCTCGTAAATGGAAATAGATTAGAAATATTTGATTGTATAGAAATGTTGTATAATGATGTTGAATTGTAGATTATTTCTTTGAATTGTATAGTGATGTTGTAGATAGATATAACCGTTTTACCCTAAGAATTTGGGTTTGGTTGGCAACCCAAACGTGGCGGTAACACCCCGTGTATAAAAATGTTATTTACGCTTCTGCATTCGAATTCCCTCCTTTCAAATAAATAAATGCCTCTTATTTTAAATATTTCAGTTTTAAAAAATTGGAGGCATTACAAGTTGGTATCAGAGCCCTAGGTTATAGAATCATAGGGTATTAAGAGCTGACTATAAGAACATAGGTTGAGCCTAGGTTGACCATAGGATATAGGAGCCAGACTATAGGAGTTTAAGTTATGAGTACTTGGAATTAGGAGTTGGTTAGGTTTTGAGAAACTTAAGTATAAGAAATCTAAGTTGGAAGCCTTAAAAATTTGAAACTCTTTAAGAATTCGTGGTGAGGTTGTGAGTTTATGCTTGTTGTGGTTGATTTCTGAATGTGATCTTTAATGGCAAATTGTGCATCAAGGTAAAGTTGGATTGTTGGTGATGTTATCACATCTTTGCTTGTTTTTATAGTTATTTTGAATCATCTCAGTATTTAAGTTCTTTAATTTTGCTTATTTAATACATATTTTCCTTGCTATTATCATTTAATTATGGTTCACACTTGTTTTGAATGTTTTACGGTGTTTATTAGTGTTTTTGAACCATTGTAGGTCAATTCTATGAGCAAGGAAAGTTCAAGGATGAGTTTGGAGCAATTTTGGACAAGTTCGGGGACCAGAAGGCTCGACGCGTCGAAAATTTCCAGAATGTTTTGTGATCGAGACCTGCTGGTCTCGACGCGTCGAGCGACGCACGAAATTGTGCCAGCTTAATACAGTGAGGGCGCTGATTCAATTCAATTCTCACACCGCAATTCCAACTTCAATTTCAAAATTCCAAATTCCAATCCAACTTCAATTTAAAATTAATTAAGGCAATTTCTTTATTTAAATATAGGAATTATAATTTGAGTCCAATTTTGTACAAGATTCCTATTTCATCTCAACTTTGTACCCACTATAAAATCCCTCCTTCCTCAACCCTAATAACGGATACCGAGAGATTTTTAGAGTTCTTTGTAGACAAGAAAGAGAGAAATCAAGAGGCTCAAGTCGTCTTTGGAAGCAAGGAGGAAGCCAGGGAGATTTGGGAGAATCGCTTGGTTAATTCTTGTACTCTTCTGATGATTTGTAATCCTTTATTCATATTTACTATGTATAATTTAGCCATGCTCGACTAAATTCCTTAGGGATTTTTGGGTGAACTTGTTTATGAACCTATGTGCCTAGTTCGTTAATTTCTTAATATATTTATGTTTGGTTTTAAGATTTGTGTTGCAATCTTGTTTTAATCTGTTGTTGTTGGTAGTTAAAGGCCTAAATTACTAGCTTCACAGTCATGTTTGTGTCACCAATGGGAGTTGGGGCATAAATTAGGGCACACACGATTGCACCTAATGGTTGGTCCTTGGGAAAGGGGAACTTATTAGGGGAAGTTTATTCTAGATTATTGCTCATCGGGAGATGGTAGTAATTAGGAATAATTGAATGCTGATCTTTGATCTTATTGGGTGTTTAAGCCATGGGAGTGGAAATTCACTAGGAATAGAGATTACGGGAGTAATTCGATTCCACTTTGCATTCCCATACAAATCTTAATTCCAAACCAAATATTACAAACGTTAATTGGCACTAGGTGATTAAACATTGTGACCCCAAGAATCCTATTTTGCTCTATTGTCTACAAAACCTTGCTACTTATTTTATTCTGCTTGTTATTTTATGCAATCAATCAACCTTCAAGTTTTGTTCGGACTAGTTTCATATGAGTAACCTAGTAGCTAGTGATTAGTACCTCACCTCTCTGTGGTTCGACAACGCGAATACTCCGGGTATTATTTGTTTCCCCCAAATTACAGCAATCAAATTGGCGCCGTTGCCGGGGAAGTGGCGTTACGTACTGACATTAGTGAAAGCCTTACTTTAGGAGTCTAGTCCAATTTTTTTTATTTTATTTATTTATTGATTTATTTTATCTGCTAATCCATAACAAGTTCCTTGTTCTTGAGTGTGATTTTGCTTTGAATCTAAGAACTTGGCTTTTTATGCATACACGATCCCGTGGGAAAGAAGGATTATTACCTTTGAATCTTGAGATTGAGAAAAGAGCCAAGTTTCTTAGGAAACAAACTAGGATGGCACAGGTACAAGAA